GTGTTTCCTTATTTCCAGGATTAGTGTTGGAACATGTTCTTCATATTCCTAGTTTCAAATACAATCTACTCTTTGTTCATAGACTCTGTCAAAGATTCAAGTGTCTATGGTTTTCACTTCTTCTGGGTGCATTTTGCTGCAGGGCCCTCTCCTGAAGGGTCCACAGTTTTGTGAGGCTAAAGAGGACTTTACTAGTATAGCCTACTGTGACAGAGTCTAGGCACCTTTCTTCACAAACTGCAGCATCTTTGTTTAAGAAGCCTATTTCTAATTCAGTTTCAACTTGTTTTTCTTTTCCTATTTTAGCAAAAACAGAATCTGATGTAATGTTATGGCATGTAAGATTGGGGCATTTGCTTTTCAATGCAATGAAACACATCAATTCTATCTCATTTCTTCCTACTCATATTTGTGATTGTGATGTTTGTCCTCAAGCAAGACAGTCTAGATCACCATTTCCAATTAGCCACATCAAAACTAACCAAGCTTTTGATCTGATTCACATTGACACATGGGGACCTTATAGGACACCTACTCATAATGGATACAAATATTTTTTAACAATAGTGGATGATTTCAGTAGAGCAACATGGACTTATCTGTTAAGCACAAAGAGCAATGTCTTTTCTGTTTTAAAATATTTTTTAAGCATGGTGGAAAGACAATTCAATGCTAAAGTGAAGATCATCAGATCAGATAATGATTTAGAATTAGGAAAAGCAACTGCTGCATCTCTATTTTTGGAGTCTCAAGGCATTCTGCATCAAACTTCATGTGTGGGTACTCCACAACAAAATGGCATTGTAGAGAGGAAACATAGACATTTGTTGGAAGTGGCCAGGGCTTTACTGTTTCAATCCAAGGTACCTATATCCTATTGGGGAGAATGCATATTGACAGCTACATTTTTAATCAACAGATTTCCATCTAAGGTTCTTAAGGGTAAAACCCCCTATGCATTATTGTTTGGCCAATCACCCTCCTATTCCTTCTTAAGAAGTTTTGGTTGCTTATGCTATGCCTCTACTTTGTCACATCATAGAGGTAAATTTGCACCTAGGGCAAAGGCATGTGTTTTCATGGGGTATCCTGTTGGACAAAAAGGGTACAAACTATTGAATTTGACTACCAAGAAGCTGTTTGTTTCAAGGGATGTTCATTTTCTTGAACATATTTTTCCATTCACCTATCTCAATTCTTCTATACTAGATCCCCCTTCTCCATCAGTTCAAAATCCTTTAATTTTTCCTCCTCCTTCATTTCCTTTCATCCCTGATCCTTCCTCTTCACCATCAGATCCATCACTATCTACACCCACACTCCCACCCCACCTAACCGTCCTCCTACATACACAGATTCACCTGCTATTTCCCCTGCTCAACTACCTGCCTCCCTTAATTCCCCTGCTCCTTCTCCTATTTCTTCTTCTCCCTCTATTCCCCTCAGGAGATCCAACAGAGATAATCTAGGCACCCTACCAGGTTATCTAAAGGACTATATTTGCAATCACATCTATTTCACTGATCTTACCAAATCCTGTTTTTCTACTCCTTGTTCACCAACTCCGTTCTCCTTTTCTGCTCTTTCCATTTCTAACCAGCATCTCATTCATTCTCTCTCTACCATTTCAGAACCAACCTCTTACAATCAGGCTTGTTCCAATCCAGGTTGGGTCTAAGCCATGGATTCTGAACTCCAAGCCTTAGAAGAGAATCACACCTGGGATGTAGTTCTCTTACCTTCTGGCAAGAAAGCTCTTCCTTGTAAATGGGTTTACAAGGTCAAGTATCATGTTGATGGCTCTATTGAGAGGTTAAAGGCCCGGTTGGTTATCAGAGGTGATGTGCAGAGAGAAGACATTGACTACACCGAAACCTTCTCTCCAGTTGTCAAGATGACAACCATCAGATGTTTACTTTCTATTGCAGTCAAGAAAGGGTGGCCTATTTCTCAATTTGATGTGAGTAATGCTTTTCTCCATGGGGAGTTACAGGAAGAGGTTTACATAAAATTTCCTGCTGGTTTATCTTCCCCCAGTCCTAACCATGTTTGTCGACTTAAAAAGTCTCTTTATGGCTTGAAGCAAGCTTCAAGACAGTGGTATGCACGACTTGCTGGATCCCTCAGTTTTAAGGGATTCTCTTCCTCCCTAAATGATTATTCCCTATTTTTTAAACACACAGGGGATCTCATTTCCATTGTTGCTGTATACATGGATGATATTCTAATCACAAGCAATAATTATGCTGAATTATCAGATCTTAAAGGCTTTCTACATTCTGAGTTCAAAATGAAGGATCTTGGGCCTCTTCACTACTTCTTAGGCATGGAAATTCTAAGGGAGCATGATGGAATTATTATAACTCAAAGGAAATTCACCACTGACCTGCTTGCTGAATTTGATTGCACCACTCTTCCACTGGTTTCTTCTCCAATTGATCCATCTTCCAAGTTGACAGCAAATTGTGGAGCTCCTTTATCTGATGCTTGCCTCTATCGTCGTCTTGTTGGCAAGCTCAACTATTTTACTCACACGCGGCTTGATCTCTCATTTGCTGTTTTGACTCTCAGCCAGTATATGCAACGCCCTTGCATTGGGCACTTCACAGCAGCTTTACGAGTTCTTAGATACCTTTGCTCTAACCCTAGCCAGGGTTTGTTTCTCAATGCTCGGCCCTCTTTTGATTTATTGGCCTTCTGTGATGCTGATTGGGCTTCTTGCCGTGATAGTCGTCGCTCAGTCAGTGGTTTTTTCATCAGTTTGGGTGGTTCACCGGTGTCTTGGAAATCTAAGAAGCAAGCTTCCGTGTCTCTATCTTCCGCTGAAGCGGAGTATCGTTCAATGCGTCGCCTCGTGGCTGAGCTTACTTGATTAACTGGTCTTCTCACAGATCTATCTGCTCCTTCTCCGATTCCGGTTCCAATTTTTTCTGACAGCCAGGCGGCGATACATATTGCCCGAAATCCCGTTTTTCATGAAAGAACCAAACACGTTGAACTCGATTGCCACTTTGTGAGGCAACAGTTCCTTTCCGGCCTCATCTCTCTCTGTTTTATACCCTCAAAACTCCAACTTGCTGATTTGTTCACAAAACCCTTGTCAGGGCCCTCTCACAAATCGATTCTTGGCAAGTTGGGGGTATCTTCTATCCCCTCCAACTTGAGGGGGGGGTGTTGGAATACATCAAGAAATTTCTCAACCTCACTCTTTAATTCTCAACAAAGATTTCACTCAGAAGAGGAGAAAAGGTTCGATGAAAAAGAAGAAGAGAAGAAAGGATTTTTTGGACAAAAGAATTTCGGACAAAACTAAGCTGAAGCCCTTTTGTGTGATAAGCCATGTGGCAAGCCACGTGGCACCATCTCAGCCAACAAGATCAATTAATGAAGATATAATCTGGACCGTCCATTGCACATGCTGAAGGAATATTAATTAGTTATATTGTTAGGATATAGCTAATAGAAATAAGACAAGTGTACATAATTCATAGGGTAGTTTTATTTTCAGATTCTTTCCTAGGTAGCAAAATATCTGTATAAATATACAGTCTTCTTGTACAGTGATTCATTGAGAAATACAGAAATTTTCATAATCATCTCTCTAAATTCCTACAGTAGTCTTAGTATTGTTAATTCCAAATCGCCTTTTCTTATTCAAGATTGTATGTTGTCAAAATCCAAGAAAAACGTACCCTTGTGCAGATACGAAACACAAGCAAATTAGTACTTATTTTTCAGTTGGGGTACTTCAAGTGTATTGCGATCTCAAGAAATGATGTGTAATGAAATTAAAGAATAACATCTTATTTTACTATGAAACGATATAATAGATCTTTTAGTACTCCTTCAGAATTACTATTATATTCCCTCCTAGAAATATATGTTTTTTCGACAGATGTTCTCATCGAAATTTCATTAAAAATCCATGAGAATTAATTTTGGATAAGTATATTTCTGACAGACATTTGTTCTAATAGTGTTTTTTCTCATATGGAGTTTTAAATGTATGCGTAACACATCAATTAGTACTAGCCATTATTGAACGTTTTAGACTCTCGTCTTAATACTCAACACAACATGGCATTACCTTTGAGATGGAGAAAGTATTTACTCTTTTATCTGCTTAATTTTTTTTCAGCAATGACTACTCATATACGTAAGAATAATGTGGAAACAGGGTTTACTTTTTTTTTTTTGGGTTAATAGCTTTTATTAACCAAAAAAGTATCATCTATCCAGGTAAGAGTCGGCCTCCTGCTGACTATAAGAAAACGAAATAATGCTCATCTAGCCATCTCACAAAGGGAATGAATTCAGCAGACTCGAGGACTTGCGCCATTTTTTGAAGTTTTGTCCTCTGATGTGGACATGCATTGCTATTTCTTTACTAACTCGATCTTCATCATAGATGCTTTTCTAAAACCTTAGCATATTCCTCTTCCTCCATATAACATACTGTAATATGGCTTAATTGGCTTTACAAGAAAAGGTTGATTTTTTCTTTATTGTAAAATCCGACTCATTCTTAGTTGGCAAATAGGCATGTGCCTATAAGGAAGATGTGCTTGGCACAGAATTATTCTTGGCCACCAAGTTTGGATAAGTGGTGGAGATCTCTTGCAAGTTGGCAACTTGCCTTTGTGAACTTGCAAGTGTAAGGAAAATGATTAGATAATATTGACTAAGAACAAGAAGGAAAGAAGACTACAACTTATCAAAAATACAGTGTCGTGGCAAGCCACTGCCTTGAAAGCGATTTCGGCCCGACTAGGTGCAAATCGTTAAGACTGGTCGCTCCCCAAGGTTCCACAGCACCTCCAAACACGTGCACTCGTGGCTGGAAGTTTAGAATTTGCACAAAACAGTTGCCCAGAAAGAAGAGAAGATGAAGATATTTTATGTGTTGGATAATTCACAAAGAAGACTAGGAAGAAATTAATGATTAGCTAGATGAATTCTTGGTTAAGAATTGAGTGAATATGATGGCTAATGATCATCCTATTTATAGCATGAAAATGAGTTTAGTTTCATGACAAGTGTCTTACTTACTTGTCAATTTTCTTTCATGCAAGATGACAACACATGACTTACTTGTCAATTTTCTTTCATGCAAGATGACAACACATGTCATGCAAAATTACACTTGGCTTAGCAAGGCCATTTGTCAAATAATTTTTTAAATCAATACCACATGTAAAAACTCTTGCCATGTACCAATTATCTAAGAGTAATGGCCACTTGAAAATAGGTAGGATACTAGTAAAATAAAAAGACCCATGGCTATTGGTTGTAAATGGATTTGCAAAAAGAAATCTTTGACTTTGCATTATAAATAATACCAACAGCAAGACTTAGTTCAATTTCTCCTATAAATACTGCTGCTACTCTCCTTTCTTAAACACACCAACAATTCAAGAGTCTTTATTCTCTTGTCTTTCTCTCCTCCTGTATTGAGAGTATTTTGTAAGAGAGTTGAGTTTTGGAAAACACTTGTGTGATCCTTTTTCTTTGGAGTAATCTTGTGAGGTTATTCTCTCGGGGTTATTTAGGACTAATTAGAGTATTTACTCTAATTTTGTACTCTCTTTTATGCTCTTGTTGGTATAGTGAAATTGCTTCTCTTCGTTTGTGGACATAGGTCTCCTTGACCAAACCACGATAAATTTGTGCCTTCTTTATCTGCTTTAATTACCGCTATTATCAACTTGTATTATCTTTGTTATTGTCATTATAACGTTGTTTGGCTAAACTCTGCACTACCCGGGTTCCCGATCCTAACAAATTGGTATCAGAGCCAGATCTAACCGGATTAGTTTAAATAGCCAAAATGACTCTAACAAAGACTTATGTTGAGAAATTTGACCGAAGTGCAAACTTCGGAATGTGGTAATTAAAGATGGAAGCTATCCTAATTCAGGATGGCTTAGATTTGGCACTACAAGGAAAGGAGAAGAAGCCGGAAAAAATGACAGACGAGGAGTTTGCCGTCATTGACAAAAAGGCAAAAGCAGGTATCAGTTTAAATCTCTCAAATGAGGTTTTGCATGAAGTTGTTGCAGAAAGCTCAGCCAAAGGCATATGGGAAAAGCTGAAAACCCTATATATGAAAAAAATAGTAGAAAACAGGCTTTACCTAAAGCAAAAACTCTACACTTTTCGTATGGCTGAAGGTACCTCTATACGTACACATCTTGATACTTTTGATTCTCTTCTTATGGATTTAAGTAACATAGATGATGAAATCAAAGATGATGATCAAGCCGTATTATTGCTTGTTTCTTTACCCCAGTTGTTTTAGCATATAAGAGATACTATGCTTTATGAAAAGGATAATATCTCTTATAAAGATATCACATCTATTTTGAAATCAAAAGAACAAATAGATAGAGATATTACTGGGGAAACGAGCGGGAACCAAGGGGAAGGCTTGCTTGTAAGAGGTAGATCCAATAAGAAAGATTCAAGTAGTGAGAGACCTAAATCAAGGTCAAAATCCAGATACAGAAATGTCATGTGCAAATATTGTCATAAGACAAGTCACATTATTTCTGAATGCTTTAAGTTGAAAAACAAAGAAAAGCATATAGAAAAGAAAAATGAGCACAAAGATACTGACACTGCCAAAGCAAGTGTAGCTGCTGATGAGATTGAGGGAACTATTTTTTAGCAACTAATAATAGTTTTAAATCTAACAATGAGTGGGTTTTAGATTCGGGTTGTTCTTATCATATGTGTCCCGATCGGGATTTATTTACCACATATGAATCTATTAGAGGTAGAGTTGTCTTGATGGGCAACAATGTTGCCTGCAAAGTTATTGGAAAAGGTACAGTCTGAACCAAAATACACGATGGTGTGGTGAGAACTCTCACCGATATTAGACATGTTCCAGACTTGAAGAAAAATCTCATCTCTTTGGGCACTCTAGAATCTCTTGGGTGCAAGTACATAGGTGAAGGTAGAGTTCTGAAAGTTTCTCATGGTTCTCTTGTGATCATGAAAGCACGCAGATATGGTACGTTGTATACTCTATTGGTATCTACTGTTACAGGTGCTGCTGCAGTTTCAACATCAGATAAATCAGATTCTGACATCACCAAATTGTGGCATATGCGATTGGGGCATATGAGTGAAAAAGGTCTTTCCATCCTCAGCAAAAGAGGTCTCTTGTGTGGCCAAAGTACTAGAAATATAGAGTTCTGTGAACATTGTGTGTTCGGGAAGCAGAAAAGAGTCAGCTTCAACTCTCCAACAATTCATAGAACAAAAGGTAGTTTAGATTACATTCATTCAGATCTTTGGGGTCCTTCACGTACCCCGTCAAAAGGTGGTGCCAGGTATATGTTAACTTTCATTGATGATTATTCAAGAAAATTTTGGGTTTATTTCCTGAAAAATAAAAGTGATGTTTTCTTAACTTTCAAACAGAAGCAAAAAAGGAAAACAGGTTAAGCGGCTTAGAACAGATAATGGCTTGGAATTTTGTAATGATGAATTCAATGAATTTTGCAAGAATGAAGGAATTGCTCGACACCGTACTGTGAGAATGACATCTCAGCAAAATGGTGTGGCAGAAAGGATGAATAGAACTCTTTTGGAAAGGGCTCGTTGTATGATTTCAAATGCTGGGTTGACAAATGCCTTTTGGGCAGAAGGTTCTACAGCTTGTTATATTGTCAACCGTGCTCCTTTTGCACCTTTGAACTTTAAGACTCCAGAAGAAATATGGTCAGGTACTCCTGCAAATTATTCTGATTTAAAGATATTTGGTTGCCCCGCATACGTGCATGTAAATGATGGAAAATTAGAGCCAAGGGCTAAAAGTGTATTTTCCTTGGGTATGCATCTGGGGGTGAAAGGATACCGACTATG